AATCTCTTGGTCCGCCAAACAACAGCCTACCTTATCACGATCTAGTGGAGAGGCGGAATACTGAGGGGTTGCCAATGTGGTTTCTGAGTCATGTTGGTTGAGAAACTTACTTTTGGAGCTTTATTGTCCAATTCAAAAGGAACATTGGTATATTGTGATAATGTTAGTGCCATATACCTTACTGAAAATCCTGTTCAGCATCAACGCACTAAGCATATTGAAATGAATATACATTTTGTTCGAGAAAAGGTTGCTCGCGGCCAGGTTCGAGTGCTTCATGTCCCCTCATGTTATCAAATTGCTGATATTTTCACCAAAGGTCTTCCGCTGGTGTTATTTGAGGATTTTCGAGACAGTCTTAGCATTCGGCGACCTCCTGCTTTGACTGCGGGAGTGTGTTAGAATATATGATAATATATTCTGATTTATTATAATATCTGTTAGGCGTATATTTAGTTCCTTATTTATAGCTAATTTGTTTCCCAATTTTAGCCAAATTATACTCTGTATAATGTGTATATAAATAGATGATTATAATGGAATGGATCAAGGAATTATTTTCTTTCAATATGTATATATATAGAGAGATTTTATTTGATTGTATTAGTTCTATAAAATAAAATCTTGATGTATCAATTTTATCTTTCTTATTTATCATTAAATTGGTATAAAAAAAATGAAGATATTATTCTGTATCAAAATTTATGTATCAATAAAAATAAAATTGATAAATAACAATTAAAGAATTCAAGAAATGAAATAGAGAATATTTATTTTCCAAATTCAGTTTTTATTGATTAATTACAAGAACACACATAGTTACAATTTTTAATAGGAAAAAGATGAAAAGTAAAATGCATACTTTATAAAAAAATTATAAAATATCTACCATTTGCTTCTAAATTGTACTTTTAATAAAAACTAAAGATAGTATCAACTTTTATTATGAATGGTGAAGACTAAAATATATAGGTTATTTTTTTTATAATTATAATTTAAACTAAAATATACTTTTTAATCCTCAATTTTATTTTCATATTTTTTTTATCAGTTTACTATGTAAACTTAAAGATTAAAATTATAATTTATTTTTGCACTTAAAAAAATTCTAATTTTTAGATATCATTAAATATTAATTATCATGTTATCTATTTAATATAAAATAATAATCAATATTATATGTTTAAGTATTAATAAATAAATATTTAAATATTAAATAAAATTACAAATTTTACAAAATAAAAAAATTAAATTACAACATTAAATATTGAAGACTAAAATTGTAAATTAAATATTATTAAAGACAATGTTTAGTTTTTTTTTTCTTAGAGTAAAAAAACACAAAGTATAGACTATTGACATCCACCCAAAGTGTACGTTGGCAAGGCAATTTTTAAAGGTGATGCATTTAGTTATTTATGGTTCATGCAGCAAAGAAATGAAAGAATGATTGGAATTTAAATATGAAGCCCAAAATACACAGATACTTGGGTTTTAATGTAGTTGGGCCGCAAGTTTATTCAAATAATTGGCCCAAGAAGATTAATACGAGGCTCATGATATATATACCTCCTTTTTTTTTAATAAGTACACCTCCTTCTTTTAAAAAAAATTATAAAATATTATAATTTTTTTAAAAGAATTTTAATTTTACACTTTTAACTTTCAATTTGTTACTTTTTTTTTCTTATTTACACACTTTATTTTTTCTCTTTCAATTTTTACATGCTACCAAAATAGGTGGGTGAAGGAAAAATAAGGAGGTGCATGTAAAAATTGAAAAAAGAAGGAAAGATATGTGAAAAAAAAATACTAAATTAAATGTTGTGAATGTGAAATTAAAAAATTTAAAACAAAAAATTAAAAATATTTTAAAATTTTAATTATTTTTTTTAAAAGGAGGTGTACTTATATAAATAAAAAAAAAAAAAAAAAAAAAAAAAGAGGTATATATATCATGAACCTTAATACGAACATGGGTAATAGTATTTTCTTTGGACCGGAAACACACACACAAACACAAAGTATTTTCTCAAATTTTGAAAGAATCATTTTTATTATATAACCTGTGCTTTTTTCAAACATAAATAAAATATAACTGAACGATTAATAATTAGAGTCTAAATAATTTTTAGATAATTGTAATTGTGAGGGTTGTTTTTGAAAATAGTACAGAGAGAAAAATAAATTGAGATGTAGTTATATATAAGGACAAAGTTGTCCAAACAAATGTGTATATCAAATAGAATAATCCCTATTATTAATAGTATAGATATTAATAAATAAAAATCATTTTAAAAATATTTTGAATGATAAAAAAAATTAATTTATGTTAATTGGAAAATTCTTCACATTAATAATATAGTTATAAAAAAAATAATATTTTTAACTACGATTATTTATTTATAGAAAAAGTTAAAAATTGTATTAATACAATTTTTTTTCATTCATATATTTTTAGTAAAATTGAATTGAACACAGTATGCAATTAAATTTAATATACAACAAACTTAAATAATACTATACAATGTCATATGCAATTAAATTTAATGTGCAATAACTTGAATATATACATAAAATTAATAAGAAATATCAATAATAAAACTATTTTATATTATATTTTATAATTATTAATTTTGATTTTTAAAAATATATTTCCCTATATATATAGACAACATTTGTGGATATGTGAAGCTATAAATCACAATTAAAATAATAAAAGATGAGATAATACTTAATATAATAAGAGTTAATCATCTATATGTTGCCGGTGTAAAAAATTTTATACTGACAACCAATCATATCTTTTAAATTATTTGATTTTATTTTTATTTCATTAAATGAGTAACTGACATGACATTATTAAAAGATATGATTGGTTGCTAGTGTAAAAAAATTTTATACTGATAGTGTATAGGTAATTAACTCATATAATAATATTTTACTAGTGGTTGGGTGGGAAGGGATTGGAATAACAGAAGCATTTATGTTCAATCCTCATTGTGACTATCTTTGTAATTTTTTTTATTTTAAAAAAAACTCTAACAATTAAGATACTCATTAATTCTCTCAAATAATTTCAAGTTGTTTTTAGTTTAGTTTTTATTTAACTTTCATTCATGTAATATTCTTTTCACTCTGAAGTATGTATTGCGATTCAATTTCTAATCATGTACGGTGATGAAAATGGGTAAATACATACTCTTCTTTTTAAATATATTAAATTTCTAATCATATCTTGGATAAAAAAATTATCATATTTGAGTGTTTGCGTGGATCTGGACTATTTTGTCTATATGATTTACATGTAATAATTTGTTAGGCATATCAAGTTTTGGATTTGGACTTCCTCCTTAACACAGTATGGTCCATTTGAAGAGAAAATAGGCTGAAGAGATTGACTATTAAATTGGGCTGTTGAATTTATTATCCAGTACTTTGGACCAGTTTTTGGCCCCTTATATTCTATTTTGTTGCAAAATTTATTGCAGGCTGATGATATATACACCTCCATTTTTTTATATATACACCTTTTTTTTTTTAAATATCAAATTCTTAAATTATTCTTAATATCATTTGAAATAAAAAAAAAAAATTATTCTGGAAAGTATTTTTCGGAGGTGTATTTGTACATAATTATGGAAAGTACTTTCCGGAATACTAAAATTATTATTCCGGAAAGAACTTTCCGCCAGAATAATTCTTGAAAGTACTTTCTGTAACACTAAAATTACTATTGCAGAAAGTTCTTTCCGGAATTATGGTAACAAATACACACATTGTTAATATTCTGGAAAGAATTTTCCGCAATAGTAATTCTAGTGTTACGGAAAGTATTTTCCAGAATTATTTCGACGAAAAGTTATTTCTAGTAATTTTAATATTCCGGAAAATATTTTCCGTAATTATTCTGACGGAAAGTTCTTTTCGGAAGGTTCATGATATATACATCTCTTGTTTTTTTTATAAGTACATCTTCTTTATTTTTTTAAAAAATTATAAAATATTATATATTTTTTTTTAATTTTATACCTTTAACTTTCAATTTTCTACTTTTTTTCTTTTTTTCACACACTTTTTTTTTCTTTCAATTTTTACATGCTACCAAAATAGGTGGGGTGAAGGAAAGATAAGGGGATGCATGTAAAAATTGAAGAAAAAAAATGTGTAAAAAAAAGTATTAAATTAAATGTTGTGAATGTAAAATTAAAAAAAAAAAAACAAAAATTAAGAATATTTTAAAATTTTAATTATTTTTTTTGAAAAGGAGGTGTAGTTATAGGAAAAAGGAGTTGTATATACCATCAACCTTTTGGAATAGTGATTTTAGTATTCTGGAAAGTACTTTCCATAATTATGTACAAACACACCTTTGAAAAACACTTTCCAGAATATTTTTTTTATTCCAAATAATATTAAGGATAATTTAGGAATTTAATATTTTTTTTTAAAAAAAAGAGGTATATGTATTGTACTGTCCGTACTGCAAAGCCGAGCTCCGAGCTCGGCATCACAACGCAAGATGACCTTTAGCACGCGCTACGCGACGTCAGCTCGACATTTAAGTAGATCATAACTGATCTCAAGGGATCTCGCTCCAGACGAGTTCCCTTATCTAATTTTATCATATCTTATCTCAAGATCTTATCATATCTTATCTCAAGATCTTATCATATCTTATCTCAGGCCCAAGGCCCAAAGCAACCCTAATTCACACTAAGGTACGTCCATTACTTATACGAGATCCATACTCCCACAAACACTAACTTTGGCATCGGAGTCTCTTTTGCAGGTACCTCCCCCATCTTGGAGCACCAATACATCAAGCAAAGGAGGCTCACCGATCTTACTGGACGGGTCACCTCTACGACCAAATTCCGGTAAGAACATTTGGCGCCCACCGTGGGGCCGATCAAGACCAGCTCTTATCGGCCATTCTTACGGTTTTCACTAGAAGCCATAGCAGACACGTAACAGATGACCTAGATCACTCAACTACCATGGATAGCGATGCAGCAACATTGAGGAGGCTGATCGACCAGGTCGAACAGATGCGGAAACAACACGCCGCCGACCTACAAAGCATGCGTGCCAAGCACGAAACTGATCTAGCAGCAACGCGCACCGCTAATGAAGCCGACCTAGCGGCACTACGCGCCGAGAACGAGCGCATTCACACCCAACTCCCTCGGCGTCCCTCAGATCAATCCCCTCCGCAGAGTAACCTGAATAAGGACGCAGGGCACTCAGTTTCACAACCGCCAACAGCGGCTAGGGCACCGACTCCCAAGCCTCCCACACATCGGTCTCACGCGCCGACGAACAAGTTGGCGCACGACGTCGGCAACGCCCCCGCCCACGGCACGGGGAATCAGACAACCTCCTGCCGCCGTCCTTTTGTGGACGGTATCATGGAGACACCTCTCCCCTTTGGGTGGAAGCCTTTCCACCTCGATCGCTACGACGACACAACCGACCCGGACGAGCATATCGATCTATACACCACCCAGGTAAACCTCTATACTAATGAGGATGCTATACTGTGCAGGGTTTTTCCAACCTCGCTCAAGGGGGCTGTACTCAACTGGTATACCCAGCTACCCGCCGAGTCAATTGACAGCTTCGGCACCCTGGTCAGATGGTTCACAGCGCAGTATGCGACAAGTCGGCCTCATCACATAACGTCAGCTGCTCTGGCCAGCCTCAGACAGAGCGATGATGAACCACTACGGACGTTCATGGAACGCTTTGTCAGCATCTCGGTGAAAACTCGAAATTTGAATCCTGAGGTCGCCCTACACGCCATGCTCATGGCACTCAAGCCTGGACCGTTTGTCGACAGCCTATGGCGTGAAGCTCAAGGGGGCTGCACTCAACTGGTATACCCAGCTACCCGCCGAGTCAATTAACAGCTTCGGCACCCTGGTTAGACAGTTCACAGCGTAGTATGCGACAAGTCGGCCTCATCACATAATGTCAGCTGCTCTAGCCAGCCTCAGACAGAGCGATGACGAACCACTACGGACGTTCATGGAACGCTTTGTGCGGGCCACCCACCATTGTTGTCCTGGCACCACCACCTGTGCCACGCACCTTATTAATGTTTGGGATGAATGATTCATTTATGGATGTCTTAATTAAGAATCTTAAAAATTTTAAACTAGGTTTGAGCTTTTTGGGCTTTAGTTGTATATTAAGAAAAAAAAAAGATGAAAAAAAATTACATTTTTTAAAAAAATTAGGTGAGTCAACCCGTTTAACCCACCTACCCGTAGTGGGCCAGACCAGTTCGAATTTTTTAGCTCACTAATAAATGAGTCGGGTTGGGTTGGCCTACCAAATATTCAACCCATGGTAGACTAGACCGAGCTGGGCCGAGTGGCTCGACAACTCTAATATTTATTTTTTCACCAAATATTCAAATTTTTACATATTTTACCACCTCATTAATTAATTATATATTATCCTTAATTAGTTAACTATTAACATGAAATATTGATTATCGATATGATATATTAATCGTTTATATATCACATTGACCATCGATATGATATATTAATCGTTTATATATATCACATTGACCGTGGACATAAAACATTACATCATGTCATCGTTTATATGACATATTAGTAATCAAAATCATCAATTAATGTATTACATGATTGATCAATGTGCCATGTCAATATTCAAATACTAGTGTGATAAAATGTAAAAAAAAATATAAGTTGAATAAATTTTTTCATAAAATTATGAAACATACCGATAAAGAAAATTGCAATTAATCTAATTAAGTTTTGATTAAAAGTGAACTTGAAGTAAAATAATTTATGTTAGAGAACTTTTATGTCACAATATTTTAGTAAAACACAATATATATATATATATATATATAATTTAACACAAATTTGGATAAATGTGTGATTGATTGGAAAGTATTTAAAAATTTGATTTTAAATTAATTTGGTTTGATCGCACTTTTTGCTACCTAAATCTTATAATTTCTTGAATTTTGTTACTTAACTTTTAAAATTACATATTTTTTAAAGTTATCAAAGTGGGTTCTGTTCGGTGAGCCAAACCTGACTTACCACAGGTTCAGACTGGGTTAGGTTGAAAAAAAATTAAAAATTTTAGTACAGGCCAATTTTGAGCCCAATAACCCGGTTCACTTGGGTTGAACATGTGGTGAGCCGGGCTGGTTTACCAACCCAAGATTAAAAAAAATGCAACAATTATTGGACCACAATACAACCCAACGTGAGATAGGGTCTATTTTTCATCTTTTGTAGTTTGCAATTTTCACTTTCAAGTTTCAATCCAGTGTTTAGATAGGTTACAAATGAGATAGAGTTTCAACTTTCAAGTTCTAAATTTCATAGCCCCTCACACCTCATCGCAATGTAGCCAACCCTTCACCCACCTCAGTGCAACCAGCCCCTCACCCACCAGCTAAAGCCACCTTCACGCTCATGGCCTCACCCACCACCACCAACCACCCTCTCACGTTCACTCACCACACCATGCCACCGCTCACATAGTCGCACCTCACACTCACGCTTAAGGCACGACGGGACACACACCACCCAAGCCACCACACCACAGCTTGTGCCGTGAACCACCTCGCACCATGCACCATTGTGCGCCACACGCCACTGCGCATGTCGCGAGCCACCGCGCATGTCACCACCCCAGGTCACCTCGCACCATGCGCATTGTTTGGGGGCCACGGGCCACCCACCATTGTTGTCCTGGCACCACCACCTGTGCCACGCACCTTATTAATGTTTGGGATGAATGATTCATTTATGGATGTCTTAATTAAGAATCTTAAAAATTTTAAACTAGGTTTGAGCTTTTTGGGCTTTAGTTGTATATTAAGAAAAAAAAAAGATGAAAAAAAATTACATTTTTTAAAAAAATTAGGTGAGTCAACCCGTTTAACCCACCTACCCGTAGTGGGCCAGACCAGTTCGAATTTTTTAGCTCACTACCACCTGTGCCACGCACCTTATTAATGTTTGGGATGAATGATTCATTTATGGATGTCTTAATTAAGAATCTTAAAAATTTTAAACTAGGTTTGAGCTTTTTGGGCTTTAGTTGTATATTAAGAAAAAAATTCGTTTCACTCCAAATTGAGGTCGAGTACGAACCTCGTCGAAATTCATCTTACTCCAAATTGAGGTCGAGTACGAACCTCGCCGAAATTCGTTTCACTCCAAATTGAGGTCGAGTACGATCCTCGCCGAAATTCGTCTTACCCCAAATTGAGGTCGGGTACGAACCTCGCCAAGATTCGCCTTACTCCAAATTGAGGTCGAGTACGAACCTCGCCGAAATTCGTTTCACTCCAAATTGAGGTCGAGTACGATCCTCGCCGAAATTCGTCTTACCCCAAATTGAGGTCGAGTACGAACCTCAGCACTAATAAACCAAGGTCGAACCCGAACCTTCACGGAAACACTTACTCAACGGAAAACCAGGGTCGAGTTCGAACCCTGACTTGGCCAACACAAGGCAAAGGCATCACCGCATACAAAATAAACAACAGACATCAAACGACCGCCTCAAAATGGGCAAAAGGCAAGAATCAAAAGCAAACAAACGAAGCAAGGTCGAGTTCGAACCTTGATATGCCAAGGTCGAGTTCGAACCTTGTTATGCCAAGGTCGAGTCTGAACCTTGAGACTACATTTTCTTAACCAAGGTCGAGTTCGAACCTTGTTATGCCGAGGTCGAGTCCGAACCTTGAGATTACATTTTCTTAACCAAGGTCGAATTCGAACCTTAATATGCCAAGGTCGAGTCCGAACCTTGAGATCATATTTTCCTAACCAAGGTCGAGTTCGAACCTTGATATGCCAAGGTCGAGTCCGAACCTTGAGATCATATTTTCTTAACCAAGGTCGAGTTCGAACCTTGATATGCCAAGGTCGAGTCTGAACCTTGAGATCATATTTTCTTAACCAAGGTCGAGTTCGAACCTTGTTATGCCAAGGTCGAGTCCGAACCTTGAGACTACATTTTCTTAACCAAGGTCGAATTCGAACCTTGATATGCCAAGGTCGAGTCCGAACCTTTGAGATCATATTTTCTTAACCAAGGTCGACCTCGAACCTTCAAATTTGGGAGCTCCTCAGAAGCCCCTTCGCTCTTACATCACTCGGTGCTTGGGGGGCAAGTGTACTGGCCAGCCAAGTTGCCGACTTGTCCCTCACCAACCCATTGACTCAATCAAAGGTTTACCAGCCTGACCAAATAGTAAACTCATCATTGCCGAGTTCCTCAGCTCGGCCATGAAACATGGACATCGGAAAACCACATCGGCCCAAAGAGGCCACGTCATCAAACAGATAAAAATATAATCTTGTTACCACACCGCCTGCACGATTCTCGAGAACGAGGCGACAGTTGCAACACATGGCATCTTGACAGGCAAGCATGCGCGAAAGGTCACTCCCCTCCAGCGAGCTCGGTCTTAACTCCTCAACCTACGGTCTTCGGAGCTCGGGGGGCTAGTGTACTGTCCGTACTGTAAAGCCGAGCTCCGAGCTCGGCATCACAACGCAAGATAACCTCGAGCACGCTCTACGCGACGTCAGCTCGGCATTTAAGTAGATCATAACTGATCTCAAGGGATCTCGCTCCAGACGAGATCCCTTATCTAATCTTATCATATCTTATCTCAAGATCTTATCATATCTTATCTCAAGATCTTATCATATCTTATCTCAGGCCCAAGGCCCAAAGCAACCCTAATTCACACTAAGGTACGTGCATTACTTATACGAGATCCATACTCCCACAAACACTAACTTTGACATCGGAGTCTCTTTTGCAGGTACCTCCCCCATCTTGGAGCACCAATACATCAAGCAAAGGAGGCTCACCGATCTTACTGGACGGGTCACCTTTACGACCAAATTCCGGGAAGAACATGTATAAAAAAATGGAAGTGTATATATCATCAACCTTTGTTGTATATAGATATTATTTTCTTTCAAATTTAACTCTCTTTTTATCTTTCTCCTTTTTTTTTTAAGTGTATAATACTATATGAGAAAAATAACTATATATTAACCGTCGCCATAAGACAACAAAAATGCAATAAAAATAGAGAGTTATCACCGATCATTATTTTAGAAAAAATATTTAAAAAAATCATAAAATAAAAAGTAATTTACATAAATAAATTATAGATTTGAGAGTCAATTACATATAAAATAGATATTAATATTTACAATATTACTTCTAATTAATTAAAATAAATTATTTATAACTTTTAAAATATTTATCTCATCTCATCTTAATTATGACAAAAAATATATATCTTATTTAATAAGTGTGTTTATTTTGGCTTCACGTGAATGACTTTTTTACTATTGCGTATCTGTATGTATATAGGATAATCAAAGTCACGTAATTCTTTTATTAAAGAATTTTTTGTATTATTATTATTTATTTAAATTGTGTTTTTATTTAATTAAGTATTTTTGAACTGTCAAAACTT